TGCAGGAGAAAGGGCGTCGGTTGGGATGAAGGTGTTGCACTACAGGGTGGCATTGGACCTCCAGGTGCATGATTACTAGTTTTTTGCACAATTCACAAACCTCTTCAGGCGTTTCTTGGCTGTTTTCTTTTCTTCCTCTTCCAATCGTTTCTTTTGATTCTCCAAAAAATCAGCATCCAATTTTTCTTGCAACCATTTCTGATCCATATAATCCAAACTAAACAACAAAAAATCCTGTTGCAAAAAAACGATTTTTTGAAAAGATTTTCGCTGCGAAAAAGAAGCGAAGAACAGAAATTTTCGGGCAAATTTTTTTAAAAAGAGAACTTTGAAATGTTTCTGAAACTTCAAAAAAAATCTTTTAGCTAATTTTTGATCTTTTAGAAATATTTTAAAATTTGAAACAGAAAAATTGCAGTTGTCGAAGAAATTACCGATCCATTTCACGTTTCCGATTATTTCGAAATATATGAAATTCAGCGCTTCCTGCTGCAGCTGATGAGCCCACAACGTTGCGCACGAAATCGGGCGGCGGCCTCGGCTTTCGACTATCTCGACGTTGCGGGATTGATACTGGCTTCTCCTGCAACGGCATAAAGCTGGTTAAATATTATTCGCAAAAAACTGAAATCCGAACAAAGATGTTGTGGAAGTCCCGCGAAAAGCTGGCAAATATTGAAAAGTGTACTGCACAGGCTATATATGGTATGCAAAAGGGGTGCCATACATACAGAATACAGGTACTCCGGCGGATATATGGAACATAAGTACAGTGGCTGAACATGTCGCATCCGGATTTAAAAGACAAGTGGTTCGATTCCCCTTCGGTTTATAATCCTTTCCAAGAAAAAATGGGCTCTGTCCGACAAAAAAAAGGAGTCAAAATCTAACCAGTACTTGGTGTCACCGTAAGGTACTGGCAACCACCCAATCACTGCTTAATTTCGTTTCCAATAAAAAAAACATTTTCGAACAAAGCAAAATTAGAATCTTGAAAATTTCAACGAAAAATTCTTCCATCGTACAGCTTCAACTATCCGTGTTTACAGTTCAAGGATGAAACAAAGACGTCACCTATTTTAAATACCGGTTTGCTCACGTGAGATAGCTAAATGGCTCTCTTGGGTTTCAATAAATATTAAAATTCGACTGTTTTTTTTTTCTTTGTTGGCCTAAACTGCAACTAAATTACACATGCAGCCGTAAAGTACGTCTTTACCCCGTATTGCTCCAACCTTTTAACGCAGTCAATTTGATTTTTTTCATTAGCATTTTAGTAGCATTCCAAAATTTTCCAGTACTTGTTTTTACGAGCCTATGCCTCATGATCGATCAGATACCCTAACGAGGTCTATCTCTAGCAAAGTTCAGAGGAAGGAGGTGGCACTTATCACAGGCAGGCGCCTGCCGAGGGTTGCTTAGAACAAGCTGATGACTGGTTCGACTCTCTGACATTTACCAGTACCAATTTACCATCGAAACGAATGAACGAATCGCAGATGGAGGGGATTGTTGCCCTACTGGCGAAGTCCAGCCCTCGATCTCCCCCACCAGAGCAATGCTAATTTGTGTTGAAAGCAAAATTCCCATTCATCGTAAATTTTAAGCGTAAAAATTCGTAATAAAAGGAAACGTCAAACGAACAATGTTTTTCTGTAGCCTGTCCAGGCGCATGCGTATCAAATCGTAGGCCGTGCGAGCCTTCTGCTCCTCTTCTTCCTCCTTGTTCTCACGGGGCATCTTGCTCACTGGAACTCTGAAAAAGCATTCTCTGTAAAAAATCATATTTCTCAAAAAAATGGCCATTAGCGAAAATCACGAAAATGACAACTCGCTATCATATTTTTCTCTGCCAAAATTCAGGAAACGATGCCACATTTTCCCGAGTTTTTTGGCCAAAATCCAAGAAACGAAATCACGTAAATTTACAAATATATTTTAGTGCAACGACAGATCAAAGAAGAATCCTTAAAAAATGAAAATTTCAGATAATTCTGCCCTTCAAAGAATTAAGCCTTAGGTCCCCTAGGCCCTTAAAGTA